AAGAATCCTCTTGCAACGCAGGAGGCCCAGGTTCGAACCCTGAGTCGGGAAGACCCCATGGAGGAAGGCATGGCAATCCACTCTAGCATTCTTGCCTGGAGAATTCCATGGGGAAAGGAGCCTGGCGGGCTACAGTCCACAGGGCTGCAAAGAGTCAGACACGCCTGAAGGGACTGAGCACAAAGAACTATACACTCCCTACTGCTGAAAGGATTTGCACTCACAAACATCCTCTTGCTCTGTTGTCAGAAAAAAAGGGCATTATCTCACAATGGGCCTTCCCAGGCGGCACTCCTGGTAGAGAATCTGTCTGAAAATGCGGGAGACACCAGAGATGACTGGAAAATTCCATGGACAAAGGAGCCTAGTGGGCTTACAGTCCATGAGGTCTCAAAAAGTCAGACGTGACTATGCACACACATCTCACAATGAATGGTTTTTCATTCCTCTATCTTTCTTCCCTTACATGGCCAAATTTTCCTGAATACAAATCTTCCTTTAGCATGTTCACCAGCAGAAGGATTTTGTAAATGCAAAAGACCGACAGCCTGCACTGCCCTACATTATCTACACTTACAACATGTCCCTGGACCACACCATCAATAACACTGGATTAACATCGGAACACCCAGTCTCCAGCCTAAGCGTATTGTCTCTGTGACTGCAGGAAAGTTACTTAACATCCCTGATCTTTTTTTGCCACCTGTGAGTAGCCAACAGAGGATGAAAGGAAAAATTAAATCAGGCAAGTGATGCGACAGTGCTTTTAAAATTTTAAGACACTAGAAACACTAACTGCTACTTTCATCATCATCTTTGGTGTCTCCTCCAAAATATTTTCAGGTATTCCTATCACAATATTTAATGATGAGCCTATCATGAAAAATTGTTAAAAAACTACTTAGGTAAAATGTCAATGAGAAGACAGGTAAATATAACAATCCTGTGAGAAAACCAGTTTCTAACAGCATTCAGAATGGAGCTGAATAGAGCACAGCCACGGGATCAAGTGGCTGGTTGATCAGCATGTTCAACAGACCCAGACCCGTTATGCTTCATCTGGACTGGAAGATATTGGTCAAGTAACCCCCATGATTTTACACCTTAGTTTTTCACCAGTGAGATATTAGTAACAAGTTGTACAGGTTCTGTGATGATTAAACACGACAAAGCACACACGTGCTTATCTTGGTGCCAGGTCCATCGTAGGAACCCCATCTTTCTGGAGGACCTCACTCACAATATAGCCGAGAGGTGCAACAGCGATTCCAATCCTCAGAGGAAAGGAAATGATCAGAGGAGAAGAGTTCAAAAAATTAAGTAAAATGCTAATTATTTTTCATATCAAAGAACAGAATTTCTAATAACTTGGTGCCTGCATAACAATCCATACCATTCTACTGAAAATGTAGTCTTGTCAGAAATCATTTAAGTCTATTAAAGCCCATACCAAAGACCAGAGCCTAACAGAGCCTCTGAATTCAACCCAACCATTACTCTTCTTAAAACGTGAATGTTGAAAAAAATAAACACTGGTTACTATGGGAACAAGGAGCCCAAAGATAACGTTTAGACAAAAGGGCCCTCACCTTCCTCTAACTACCCAGAGCTCTTCTTTTCATCAGCCTTCTTATGCCATTTATCACTTTCTACCTTGTGTCAGAGTCATTTGTGCAGGGTCTGATCTATCCGCCTACACAGTAAGCTCTTTGAGTGCAGAAACCCTGTCATATTCTTCTTTGGATTTCCAACACAGCCTTGCAAAAGAAAGCCATAAATAAGTAGTTTGTTGAGGGGGGAGAAAAGAGCATGTACTAAAAAGCACTGCCACAATTGAACACTATGATTAAACTATTTAACCTTTGGGGAAAAAATTAATCAAGCCTCTCAACCACTTAACTAGTAGAATTATGCAATTAACCCTATTTTAGACTAGAGAATCATTTAAGAGTTCTAATCCCTGCTGCATGATGACAACATGGAATTAGAATTCAGACATACTGATACTAAAGTGGTGAACAAAGTTGTTTTTAACAGTGTTAGCTTTCTGTATGAAATTATAACAAGCTAGGTCTATACTTCACCCATATCCATGTTCACCTTTTAATAGAAAAACTAAAATAATATTAGTAAGTCAAATTCAGTAATATTGTCATGCTAAAGGATTTCTGTAAAATACATATCCAATTCTAGAGCTCATTTTCCCCTACAAACAGGATAGCTATTTTGTTGGTGTAGAGTCTTTAACTGACCCATCAAGGTCGAATGGTATTGCTGATTAATAACCAAGTAAATTCATTATTAGAAAATTAATGGAATAGATCAAAGCATCTATGTATCACAACTGTCACAGTTGCCTTCAGCTAAACTAACTGCAACCCACGGGGCTGAGCTGTCAAACCATGAACAGCATCCAACACAAAGGAATTAACAGTTTGACTAATAAGTTTATCATTTTCCCATATCACTGAGCCTGACTCCAAAAAACATGTTTTATGTCAAATATGACTATTCCACTTTATGAAAAATATACTAATGACAAAATATTTGTGCAATGCCTAACTCGAAACAGAAACTGTAATCACATCTACAGACAGTTATATAAATTATGAGGTAGCTCACTTGGTAATTTTCTCCAGTGATGTGTTTAACAGGATTTCCTTATCTTATACTTAATTTTATGATACTCTATTTTTTGACATTACCATACAAGAAATGGCAACTCACTCCAGTGCTCTTGCCTGGAAAATCCCATGGACAGAGGAAACTGGTGGGCTACAGTCTACGGGGTCACAAAGAGTCAGACATGACTGATCGACTTCACTTACTCACACACAATGGACAAAGAAGCAGAAAAGTACATACATGGAAAAAGAAAAGTACATACACGTTAACTATCTCTAGCACTTAACATGGAGATCTAAGGTCTAATCCTTTCTCTCCAATCTTACATATAACGGCTCAGTTTAAAAAGCAAATTAAAGCAATACTATATTTTTCCAAAGAAGAAATTAACCTTTGTCTTCTCAGTCTTTTGCCTATGTGCCTAAGATCACCAGAAATGAGTAATGGAGAAATAAATGTATTTCTTAGTAGCTAAAATGGATTTGTCTTTAATTTACAGAATGTGATGCTTTGAGAAGTATTTCTCAGTAAGGTGAGCTTTATCTGGCATCTTGGAGGAAGGAACCATATTCCCAGCAGGTAGGTCTATAAAATGCTACATAAAAAAGAAAGAGCCACCTTTTTAAGAGGTGAAATAGAACCAATATAGTACTAGTTAATATTTGATGAAATGCTGGCTTGAACCGATATCTACTCACCAGCCTGTGGGGCATGATACACATACATATCATGCCCAAGTAGTCTCAGGGGATAAGAAAGGCAGGCAAACTGCTTCCTGACACCCAGTAGCCATGTGCTGTCTAATGATCCACAAGGACAGAATGAGGGTATATTTGTATGTGTATATAAATGTTTATTTATATATGAACCATATACATATGTCTGAATCTTAAGGTCTAGATGGAAATGCCTGAAAAGGATACAAAGCAGCACATGGATTTTCTCAAATCTGACCTACACTAGCCAGAACAATCTTTTAGCTTCCTCACACAGGCTGCTTTAAGAGACAGCTTGTCGAGCTCAGAACAAACGGCCTATTGGCAGGGACCAACACTAGATGGCAGATTTTCTTGTACTTTTGCTGTTGGTTCTTAATTTTTACAATGTTGTGTTGGTTTCTAGATGGCAGATTTTGATACGCGATGCGCATGCAACTTTGAAGGTTCTAAGAGAATTCAGACCTATAAGGGGGTGCTGGTGGTAACAGAAGAGGGCAGGAGACCCACCCTGCACACAAGAGATCACTGAGGGCAACTCTATGACCCATATTTGTTCCATGATTTACACTCTAAATCTGAAGCCAAGACTCTAAATCCTGCAAGGGTGTGCTTATAGAATCCTCTAGGAATGTTTTTACATGCTGTTCCCATTTCAAGGGTAATTACACTCACATGCACACTCATGTTCTAGGTGTGTGTGCACGCTCAGTTGTTTCAGCCGTGTCCAACTCTTTGCGACCCTGTAGGCTGTAGAGACCGCCAGGCTCCTCTGTCCATGAGATTCTCCAGACAAGAATACTGGGGTTGGGTGCCATGCCCCGCTCCAACGGATCTTCTCAACCCAAGGATTTAACCAGTGTCTCGTGTGTCTCCTGCATTGCTGGCAGATACGTTACCGCTGAGCCACCAGGGAAGTCTTTATATTCAGACATCAGGATAATGTCTATTTCAGGAGCTAAGCTACTGATTCAGTTGAAATTCACAATCTCTACCCTCAAGTGATCACTTACCTAGAGTCAGACATCCTGGAATGTGAAGTCAAGTGGGCCTTTAGGAAGTATCACTATGAACAAAGCTAGTGAAGGTGGTGGAATTCCAGTTGAGCTACTTCAAATCCTGAAAGACGATGCTGTGAAAGTGCTGCACTCAATGCCAGCAAAATTGGAAAAGTCAGCAGTGGCCACAGGACTGGAAAAGGTCAGTTTTCATTCCAATCCCAAAGAAAGGCAATGCCAAAGAATGCTCAAACTACCACACAATTGCACTCATCTCACATNCAAAGCTATGGTTTTTCTAGTAGTCATGTATGGATGCAAGAGTTGGACCATAAAGAAAGCTGAGTGCCGAAGAATTGATGCTTTTGAACTGTGGTGTTGGAGAACCCTCTTGAGAGTCACTTGGACTGCAAGGAGATCCAACCAGTCCATCCCAAAGGAAATTAGTCCTGAATATTTGTTGGAAGGACTGATGCTGAAGCTAAAACTCCAATACTTTGGCTACCTGATGAAAGAACTGACTCACTGGCAAAAGACCCTGATGCTGGGACAGATTGAAGGCGGAAGAAGAAGGGGATGACAGACGATGAGATGGTTGGATGGCATCACCAACTCAATGGACATGAGTTTAAGTAAACTCCGGGAGTTGGTGATAGACAGGGAGGCCTGGCATGCTGCAACGGGGTCGCAAAGAGTCGGATATGACAGAGTGACTGGACTGAACTGAACCCTCACGTGATCACCTATTCATGATCACTTGAATAGCTTATTCATCCCACCACACTTTCCTGGTGAATTTACTCTCTAGGTCTCGTACATGACTATCTCATTTCTCCAACCTTGAACATCTTTTCCTTCCTTCCTCTCAATGATGACATTCCTTACCTTACTGAAAGAACAGAATCAACAGAAGAAGACTTCTACAAGTCTGTACCTAAACCCATCAATCTCCTTGCACTTCTGCCTGCCCTCCCATCACTGTGGCTGCATGTCGAACAGACATCTCTCCATTCTCCTGTCTAAGTCTGACATCTACTTGGATGCCTGGTTATCATCGCTTCCCATCCATCTGAGGACATTAGGCTTACCAATGTCCCTTCTCTCATTTCATTTTCCTACTCTATTGGGTCATTTCCATTTAACAAGCTTTAAAAAAAACCAACCTCCCTTCATCCTTTATTTTCATCGAGCTATCATCCCATTTCTCTGCTCCCCTGTATAGAAAATTTCTACAAGAGTCATCCATACTCATAAGTCATCTATCTTTGTTACATCATGCTTTCTCTCGCCACTCTGTCCTGAACCCAGTATTGTAACACAGCCCAGTAAGCTCAAGCCCTTAGCACAGAAGCCATTGCTCTGCATCATTCCACCACAGCCTGTTGCCAGGCAACGGGTCCGGCCCAGTCATTGGTCAGTGCCTCAGTGGGCCCCGCCCACAAGCAACCAACAGTTAAGAAATGACAGTTAGTGAGGGAATTCAGACAACAGTGGAGTGGTGGTCATGAGGTGGAGAGTGCGGTAAGAGGCAGATCCCGACTTTCTCCCTGAGGCCCTTCCAGCTCACCCAACCTGGGGCCAGTAGGTGAGCTGGGGGGCCCAGAGAACAGGCTTGGGGCTGTGTCTTACAGGGCTTCAGAATCCTCACCAAGGACACCCACCATCTTTGGCCCAGGCCTTGAGGCAGTGGTGAACCTCTCCACCATCCTTGTTTCTGCGACCTAATAGCAGCGGCAGTGTGCCTGGGCCGCAGTCTGTGGGACCTGGTCTCTCCCTTTTGGGTGGCCTGAGGAGCCTAAGAGTCAGTTGGGTTGGACGTCTGGCTCCTTCAGTGATGAAGGCTGGGCAGGATGTGGGAACCTGGCCCTGAAGAAGCTGCCAACTGGGTTCTGCTGCCTCTGGGACAGGACCTTGGTGGGTGAAAGCTGTACCTTGGGATCTTGCCCTTTCTTGTCAGGACAGAGAATAACATTCATTTGCTAGAGATTTACAGGAACATTGTTACCTGACCATGACCTGACTTCAAAAACAAAGGATCTGACACCAGGAAGTCTGCAACAACTAACCACGCCCCTCCGTCAGCTTTTTGCTTTTAAAGGGGCTTTGCTGAAACCTTTCAGTAGCTTTGGGCTTCTTAAGGCCCAGAACCATCTCCTTCCATGGCCCTGTGATAAACCTTTCCCTGTTCCAAACTCCACTGTTTTGGTATTGTTTGGCCTTACTATGCATCGGACACAGATCTGGTGATGTTCCATAACACTATCAGGCTTTTGTCTCCAGCACTCCACTGAAATAACTTGCCAAGGTCAAGAATGTGCTGCCTTTTGCCAAATACAATAATGAAGTCTCAGTTCCCATTGTACTTGACCTACGAATAACAAGTGATGCAGCTTTCCACTCCTTCTTTCTTGAGACACTTCCTCTGTTTGGCTTCACATAGTATAAGGCAAAGTGAAAGTCACTCAGTCGCGTCTGACTCTTTGAGACCTCATAGACCACACAGTCCATGGAATTCTCCAGGCCAGAATACTGGAGTGGGTAGCTATTCCGTCCTCCACGAGAATCTTTCTAACCCAGGGATCGAACCCAGGTCTCCAGCATTATAGGTGGATTCTTTACCAGATGAGCCACCATTCTCTCCTTGACCTCACCAGCCTGTCCTCACCCATCTGCTGATTGCTCCTTATCCATGCACCACCTGAGTGTGCAAGACCAATTCTGTCTTCACCACTCCCCTCCTATGTAAGCTCACGCAATTTTATCACTTTAAAAACTATATGCACCAAACAGCTCTTATATTTATCTTAGCCCAGAAATATATCTCCTTTGAAATCTCAGCTCATGTACCTAAATGCCTACTTGACATTAAATAGATCTCCACTAGACAACTCAAACTGAACATGCAAAACTGAATTCTTGATTCTGTCCCAGAACTGCAACTCCCTTCCCAATCTCAGGAGACAGCAACTCCACTCATTTATACTTTCCGGCCCAAACCCTGAGTAATCTGTTTGTACTAGAGCACAGTGAGGCCAGCCCTTAGCATGCAGGCATTGCTGCAGGCCATTCCCCTGTGCCCTTTTGCCAGGCAACGGTCCCACTCAGCCACAGGTCAGTGCTGCTATGGGCCCCTCCCACAAGAAACTGTCAATGAGTGACCCCCGGGGGTCCCGCTCAGCCACTGGTCCCTGCTGCAGTGGGCCCTGCCCACAAGCAGCCAACTGTCAAAAAGCCACAGTTAGGGGATTCAGCCAACCGTGGAGTGGAAGCTGTGAGATGGAGAGTGAGGTAAGAAGCAGATCCCAACCTTTTCCCTGGGGCCCTCCAGCTCATTCAGCCTTGGACCAGCAGGTGAGCTGGGGAGCCCAGGGAACAGGCTGGGGCTGTGTCCTGCAGACCTCCAGAGCCCTCGTCAGGGCCACCCACTGCCTGGGTCCAGCCCTTGAGGTGACGGCGAACCTTTTCCCCCATCCCTGCCTCTGAGACCTAATGCCAGTGGCCGTCTGCAAAGGACACAGTCTGTGGGACCCTACAGGCGGCCCCGGGAACCTGAGGACCAGCTGGGTCCTGGGCTCCTGGCTTCCTCAGCAATGACGGCTGGGCACGTCTGGGGACCTGGACCTCAGAGAGCTGCCAACTGAGCTGCTCTTAGTCATGATCTGGACCTTGAAGGGGGAAAGTTGTCCCTTTCTTGTCAGGACAGGGACTAACATTCATTTGTTACCCTATCATGACTTGACCTCAAGTACAGAGAATCTGACACCAAGAAATTTGCAACAACTAATGACACCCCCTCCCTCACCTTTTCTATCAAAGGTCTTCGCTGAAAGCTTTCGAGGAGTTAGGGGTTTTTTAAGACATGAGGCACCCATCTCCTTGCATGGTCCTGCAATAAACCTTACTCCAATGTTTTAGCAGTGTCTGACTTCACTGGGCACACAGACTTGCATTTTGAATAACACTGCGTTTTAGTAATCCTGAGTTCTCTCTCCTCCATCCAGAAATCTCTGGATTATCAATCTGTTTATCAATCGCCACCTCCAATACTCCCCACCCTGGTCCAGGTCACATCATCATTTCTTGCACCACAGCAATAGCCTGACAGCGGGCTCTCTGCTTCCACCCTAAGGTCTCTCTATGGGATCTACTCTCCATAATGTGATCACGGTGCTTATTTCAAACATTAACTCAGATCATGCAACTCTTCTGCTCACAAACCTTCAATGGTTTTCCATGCACAAAGAATGAAATCCAAAGTCTTCACCGCAGGTTACATGGCCCTACATGATTGAGCCCCTGATAATCCTCTGACCTCACTCCCTACCACTCTGGCCACACTAGTTCCCTGGGTTGTTTCTATAATTGCTTAAAACACACTTCCTGCTCAGAATCTTTGCAATCGGCTTTGCTCTGCCTAAAACTCTCTTGCTCCAAGCAACCTAATGGCCGATTCATCACTTCTGTCAGAGGTCTGCTCAAATATCCCTTTACTCAGACAGCACTTTTATGGTATGGAGAATTCTATAATGGCCTCCAAGCTGTCCCCTGGGGTAAATGCCCTGTGTAGTTCTCGCCTCTGAGTGTGACCAGGAGCTTTAAATACATGGACTCTCCTGTAATTATGTTTTATGGCAAAAGTGAAGAGATTTTGCAGATATAATTCAAATTCCAAATCAGTTGATTTTGACTTAATCAAAAAGAGGGTTAATTCTAGAGACTTCACTGGTTGTCCAGAGGTTATGACTCAGCGCTCCCAGTGCAGAGGATCCGGGTTTGACTTCATCAGAGAACTAGTTCCTGCATGCCACAACTGAAGACCTCACAAGCTGCAACCAAGACCCAGTGTAGCCAAATAAATATTTTTTAAAACAGGAGATTATTCTAGATGAGACTGACTAAATTAGCTGAAAAACCTCTAACAGAGGGACCGAGCCCTTGGAGGGGAGGGGAGTTGGTCTCTGGCTGCCTCTGAAGAAAGTAGTCATGCTGTGAAATGTCTAGACTGGGGTGGCCTACAAGAGCCAAAGAAGGAACCTGCAAGGAACTGAATTCTGCCCACACCCAGATGACCTTGAAAGAAGCCCATAAGCTCTGGGTGAGCAGGCCTTAACTGCAGTCTGGTGAGACACGGCGCTCTCCCACCGTCTCCCAGGTAGACTGTGTCTGGATTTCTGGCCTACAGAAGCGGCGAGACAATAAGCTGACGGTGTTCTAAGCCACAAAGGTTTTGGTAACCTGTTACATGGCAGCAGAAAACCAACATGCAGTCCTTGACAGAGAAGCGCTGCCAGACTTTCCAGCCTCCTGATGGCAGCGTTTCCTTCAGAGAAGTCGAGGTGTCGTGTCAGTAACGCTCCTGTTGGACTTGCTCCCTGCCTCCAAAATGTAAGCTCCTGCAGGGCAAGACATTAGTCTTCTGTCTCTTCCCTTGTTGCATCACAAGGCTTAGAACAGTGGCAAGCACAGGGCAGGTGCCTGATAAACATTTATAGGATGAATGAGTGTATCTGCTGTTTATGTTTGCATCAGCACAGAGTGATCTCAAAATCTTAATAGCTTTTAACTTTTAAGTTTCAAAGGCTATTTCTCAAATTACAGTTGACCTTTAAACAACAGGGATTTGGACTGTGCTGGGCAACTTATATGTGGATTTTTTTCCCAACATATCACAGGACTACACATCCTGTGGTTGGTTAAATTTGTGGATGTGGAACTGTGTATACAGAGGGCTACCTACAAAGTTAAAAGTGGGTTTTCTACTTTGTTGGGGGTCAGTGCCCCCAATCCCCACACTGTTCACTGATGTATACGGAGTGCCCTTGAAGGAAACCAACAATATATTCTGGGAGATTCATGAGTTCTCAAATCAAAAAACAAACAAACAAAAAATACTAGTATAAATAAATACCCTGTAAACATTTAACAACAAAAAATGATGTATATGAGCAATTAGACATAAACATATGTTTGCTAAAAATAAGTTATATTAAAATCCACTTCCTTTTTTTGGAAAGTATCATTGATGTATCTCACTTTCAGGACACTATTAACGGTCCTTTTACATTAGCCTTCTCAATAGTTACTTAAATGTTGACTAAAGGCAGTAGAATCAATGGGATTTGATAGAGCAACTATACCAAAAAATACTAATTAATTGTTGAAAGTCATTCAGAAAGCAAATAGTTTCTAAGAGATGCCAGAAAGTTCTGTCCTACTTGAACTGCTGAACACATTGATCAGTGTTTTAAATAAAGACACAAAAGATAGGGTCATCAAATTGACAAGTGATGTATATACAAACACTGTCTCTAATAAAGAGAGACACATTGACAGGACTGACAGGCAAGCAATGAGTCAAAATCAACAGGTCCATTATTATGTTGACAAATGGTAAGACATACACAGAGTTTCAAAACACAAGTAGCAATTCAGAATCAGATTTGGTAGCACTTCAAATGAATTAAAAAAGCAACCAAGATCAGAGATTTTTTTTATTTGACTGATAGGTCAATCTTAATTCATTAATTACACAGCTATTTTAAAAGGCTATGAAAACCCGTGCTGATTTAGGAGAAATAAGAGTGTGAACTGTAAAAATGACATACTGTAACTATTGTTTCAGTCTGCTTAGCTCCCACCTGGAGTCCTGCATTTAAATTTGAGTGCTACATTTAAAAGGGACATGATTAAACTGGAAAACAGTACCAGGAAAAGAGTTTAGAGGTCAAAGAGGTCTTGCAGTAAACAAAGTTAAATGAATTCCTATCCTGCAGAACTTCTTAGAACCTTTAATGCTAATGTTTTTTGCGATTTCAAAAAAAAGGTGCATGTGTATGTGTGTGTGTGTGAGAGAGAGAGATAGATATGACACATCGTTTCTTAATTTATTTGAACATGGAACTCTTTCTTCATTGAGAATCTTATAACACCAGTGATCTAAGCTGTAAACTCAGGAAAAGCACCACCTAAGCCCAATGTTCAACATCACTAATTATTAGAGAAACACAAATCAAAACTACAATAAGGTATCACCTCACACCAGTGAGAATGGCCATCATCAAAAAATCTACAAACAATAAACACTGGAGAGGGTGTGAAGAAAAGGGGACGCTTTGCACTACTGGTGGAAATGTAAACTGATACAGCCACAACGGAGAACAATATGGATATTCCTTAAAAAACTAAAAACAGAACTATTACATGACCCAGCAGTCCGACTACTGGACATATACTTTAAGGAAACCATAATTCAAAAAGACATTCACCCCAATGTTCATTTCAGCACTGTTTACAAGAGCTAGGACATGGAAGCAACCTAAATGTCCATCAACAGATGAATGGATAAAGATGTGGTACATATACACAATGGACTATTACTCAGCCATTAAAAGGAATGAGGTTGGGTCATTTGTAGAGATGTGGATAGACCTAGAGACTATCATATAGAGTGAAATAAGTCAGAAAGAGAAAGACAAATTTTGTATATTAACACACATATATGAAATCTAAAAAATAGTACAGATGAACTTATTTGCAAAACAGAAATATAGACGCAGACCTAGAGAACTAAGGAATGGACACCAGAAGGAGAAGGGGCAGGGTAAGGGGCAGGTAAGAGATTGGGACTGACGTGTATACACTGCAATGCATGGAACATATAACCAGTGAGACCCTGCTGTATAGTGCAGAGAACTCTACTCAATGACCCGTGGTGATCTAGATAGGAGAGAATCCAGAAGAGAGGGGACGTGCATGTACAAATGGCTGACTCATGCTACTGTGCAGCAGAAACTACTGCAATGTTGCGATGCAACTATACTCCAATTAAAAAAAAAAATGTATACTAGATGTAGACAAAATGTCAGTAAGGGTAATAAACAAGGAGGAGTCGGAGGGGGATATAGAACTGTATCATGAGAAGCAAGGCCAAAACTATCTTGCAGAGGAAAGGTGAAGAGTAAGCCTGGCAAACAACAAACACTTCTCAGGAAAATGAGGGAATGCAGTTGTTCTATACTGTCCTGGTACCTAGAGAAATACAGTATTTGCAAGTAAGGCTCAAAATATGCATTTTAACACTCCCTTCAGGAGATTTTTATCCAGAGAGCCTGATAGTTGCTCTCAAGGTCAGAAATAGAGCCCAGAACAGGAAGGTCAGCTAAATCTTCAGGAAGATCACTGCAATTAAAGCTTTTTAGTATCACAGCGATGATGGTGGAAACAAGAGTGAGCTGAAGTTTGTACAGGGGCTGGTTAACACCCAGCAGGGACATCAAAGAAAAGATACCTGCATTCGTCAAGCAGGAGGTCGGATGACTTCCAGCACTGCACTTCTGACACCACATGCTCAGGGGCTAGTGTGTAACCTCCACAGTCTCACTCACCCTTACGTCTCAAAGACAAGCACGGAGCCCAGCACAGACTGGGTCTCTCAGAGATACTGGTGGAGTGTGTGAATAAATGAAGTGAAAAATAAAAGTATCTGGCTCCAGAGTCAAATGCAAAGAGAATGGCTATTTCATTTTTTGGAGATTGCTAAATACGGCAATTCTAAATCACAATCAACGTTACTCACAAATATAAGGAAAACAGTCTCGTAATAATTTCACATCTTGACTTGGAAATCAACTCTGAATTAAATCACACCAAGGGTTGCTGTGAGGTTCCCACAGTAAATGTGTGAAAATGCATTGCAGATTGTAAATGACTATCAGAAGGACGGGGTGATTATGGTGATAATAATCCAGCCCAACAGATTATGATAATTCAAAGGGCTGGAAACTAACCTTGAAAATGAAACCACCTTTTATAGCCACAGGTCTGAAAAAGGTCCATTAGCCATGTGTTCTATTGTCAAAGGAGGACATATTTTAAAACACCTTCAAAAATGTGATGGTGTTCTAATTGACCTGGTAAGTTAAGCTATTTATAGTTTAGTCTAAGCAAATTTCTTCAGTCATGAGACAGCAAATTCTCAACAAAGAATATACATTAAATCAACCTTATATTTAGAAATTCTTGAAATAGAAAGCTTTCTTTCACTAGATACAAAGTCTAGACTGTCAGATACCATATTTGTATCCATTTCCTAGAAGACTGAGGGTTCTTTCAAAATATATCTATCATTTCTCCACAGTGGCTGATCAAACCTGTCACTGAAGAATGTTCTGAACAGGCAACTTGTGGCACAAGCAGGGTTTATTTCTGTCAGGCTGACTGCTGAAGTGTGAAAGAAACTCATTAAAAATCTCTTACTGTGAACTTACATTGTTTAAAACCAAAAAAAAAAAAGAAAAGGGAAAAAGAGAAAGAAAAACCCAAGAAAGAAAAAGGGGAAAAAAAAAAACTTAATGAAGGGTACACTGATCCTGCAGATACACTCATATGGTGCTTTTCTTTCTTATTCTTCTTGAGGAAACAATTAGAAGACAGCAATTAGTCCTGGGAAGACAGCCCACACTGACTATTCCAGGAAATCAAATAAGATCATTTTATTTTATGCTAATATTATGAAAAGCTAAGGAAGTAGATTAGAATATTGTACTATAGGAAAAATGACGCAAAATAAACAACATTGTTTACCTTAATCTTAAAACGAGGTTTACGGCACAAGAAGCTTCTCTGTAGTCTTCACTAGCATTGGGTAGGCCCTTTAAAAACAAAACAGCCAACGGTTATAAACTCGGGAAACAAAGGCATAAAATCATGACAACTGTTGATTCATAAGAGTCCTTTCTTCCTGGAAATTTCAACACTAGGCCTTTTATTACAGGCCTATTATTTGGGCCCATAACACCTCTGTGTGAAGGCTGGAATGATGTTTCTCTCCCATCACAACTGTGGATCTGAATGTTTCATATAGAAAGCCTCAGTAGGAGGAGGGGCCCTGTGAACAACTGGTATATGCTGCAGTAAGTCCAAAGAAGAAAGATCAGCCATCTAAAGGGGCATCTTGCAACCTGAGCCATGGACTGCATCTACTGGGCCTTGGAGATGCACGAAGGCTGGGCACTTTAAACCTCAAAGATGCAGAGGAAGAAGGAACCTAGCAGATAAGGCCAGGGTTTACCTTTCTCACCTAGAGTCTGTTTCCTTGAACACAGATCATCAGTCATGAACGCTTCTATTGAATAGGCCCTTCCTATTTTATGAATCCCTGGACATGAGACCTTCCTGTCAGAGTAGAAAAAATAAGGAATTTTTGGTCAAGAATTGGCTCTGCCACTGACCAGCTTTGCAACAATGGGCAAGTCATTCTGTGAATGTATTTTCTCATTTACAAAATGGGAATAATATTTGCCTCGAAAGTTTTCTGGGAGAACAAATACTATATATGCAAAGGAGTCTAACTATACCATGTTATACAATACTAGGTATCCTAATTCCTTTTTGTTTCCTTTATTCTTTGCCTTCTGATCCTTTATGATTCCTACATCTCCTTTTATAATTCAACCAATCCCTACAATTTATCTCAAGGTGCTATACTAAGTTGCCTGCTAAGTTGCTTCAGTCGTGTCTGACTCTGTGTGACCCTATGGACCGTAGCCTGCCAGGCTCCTCTGTCCATGGGATTCTCCAGGCAAGAATACTGCCGTGTGTTGCCATTTCATTCTCCAGGGGAATCTTCCTGACGCAGGGATCGAATCCATGTCTCTTACGTCTCCTGCACTGGCAGGCGAGTTCTTTACTTACCACTAGGGCCACCTGGGAAGCTAAGCTGCTTAATACAATGTAAAGACATAAACTGAATCCTGGCTCCGCCTCTAAGCTGCTGTGCAACCATGGATGAGCCACTTGGCCTCTACAAATCTTTGCTTCTTCATCTATAAAACAAGGGTCAAAGCCTAGATGTCTGACCTGCAACCATGAAAGCCCATCACTCCATCTCCTCTGCATATGGCTATTTCATAAAATACAGATCGGGTGGAATAGAAATAAATTTAAATGGAATATGCAGATTCAAGGGGGAAATTTGAATACCAGGCTGGTAATACTTCACAGTATAACCACTTTGGGCTTCCCTGGTAGCTCATCTGAAAAGAATCCATCTGCAATGTAGGAGGCCCCGGTTCCATTCCAGGTTGGGAAGATCCCCTGGAGAAGGGATAGGCTACCCCCTTCACTATTCTTGGACTTCCCTGGCAGCTCATATGAAGTATCTGCCTGCACTGCAGGAGGCCTGGGTTTGATTCCTGGTTTGGGAAGATCCCTGGAGGAAAGTATGGCAACCCACTCCAGTATTCTTGCCTGGAAAATCCCATGGACAGAGGAGCCTGGCAGGCTACAGTCCATGGGGTCACAAAGAGTCAGATACAACTGAGCGACTAAGCATAGCACATAACCACTTTGAGAGCCGAAGGGCTTGCTATCAACTACATGGCAAAACCAAAATGCGGGGCCTACACTCTGAGTTTGCATCCATAGTCCCTACCCTGGATAGCTCAGCATCCTTCATCAAGACCCAACACAACTCATGGCACACGAGTTCTGTCACATAACTTTTAATACGAATTCATTTCACAGTCACTGAACTATTATTTTTACAAGGAAAGTTGTAGAGATAAATTGGCTCATAAAGTTCAAGGATAAAAGAATTACAAAAAAGTCATAGCAATCCAACCAGGAGCAAAGAAAGAAAAGTATCAATTAACTATAATGTTTTGCGACTGGAACCTAGTAGAATGGTGAGTCATTTTCTGTCCTTTTCCCATTTCACACAGTACTAGCAATTTTGGAAGCAGTCTGGTAATCAGTTCTTGCTTTTGAACCTATCATTTAAAGGTTGGAGGCCCTGAGAAGCATGGTCAATAGTGACAGTCCTCTTTTTTCCATCCCCATTAAAAAAGAGAGTTTACAAGCCCCTGCTCTGGAAGCACTACCCTGATACCGTCTATCTTTCTAAAATGTCAGGCTTTGGGGTTTTTTTTTAATCTGTCTTCAAAGCATTTCAAACGTAAAATGACAGGCAGAGAAACGTACCTGAGAGTCCTGCACAGACAGAGACTGTGTCTGCTCGGGGAGGCTGCTGGCGTTCACCACCGTCTGTTAAGAGAGCCACCATCACGACACGTTAGGATGCCAAAATGGGACATTAAGGTCAGGGTGGTTACATTAAGTCTCAGTTATCAGACACAAACATCTTACATAATTCGAGTAATTTTAAAGCACCATTTCCCGGAGTGTGGTCCTTTGACAACCTGCGCTGGGATCACCAAGGACACAACTTAAAGACTCCTGGGCACCACCTGGCCTATGATTCAGAATTTCACTGAGACAGGAGAGAATCTTTAATAAGGTGCCCGGGTGACCCTTACGCATCTAGAGAACCACTGAGCTTAAGTGAAAAGGCATGGGCAATTTGGTATTTAAACTTGATAACAGAAAGATGCTCAAGGACCATCTTTTTTTTCTTGTTGCACAACTTCATCTCAAGATGGGAGCCCCTAAATGAAAGGATGTTAGGCTTAGCACAACTTGCCCCTTTTAATCATTACTTTGAACAATTTATTTGCAGCACTGGATTTCAAACAATATCTCCCCCAGAAGAGAATCTAGAGCAAGAGATTATATTTTTCCCGCTAAGCTAGACACCTGACCCCAATGTGATACCCCAAATATTTCTGCCTCAAGCCCTACTTTTGTGAACTCTGCCCTGGAACAAAACTTGAAAGACAAACTGAAAGAGACACATCATCAGCAAAGAATGAAAAATACATGTTATTCCCTAAACTTACCATCAGTTCTAAAATTATCCAAAGTCATCAGAAATTCTTTGTGCCAAGAGTTTTCTAAAGTTTGAGCATAAAAGTTTTGTATGCTTCTGCAAAGATAACTGTGTCAGGAATGAAGAAATAGGGGGAAGTGCACCTGCAATTTACTTTGAACTGCATCCAAAATCAAAGATGGACTAATAGACGAATAGACAACTGTGAGATGAAGCAAGTATAGCAATGGCAGAATCAAGGTAATTGCTGGGTAGATGTTCACTATAAAATGCTTTTAATGTGGTCATATTTTGGAAATTTTTCACAGGAAAATGTTGGGGTGAAATGATTATATTAGAAGAACAAATAACCTGTATTTACTAACCAGACAGAGGACCTTCGCCCACCCCAAATGATTTCTTATAAAGAATTTTCCAGACTGATTCCACAATCTTCTTTAAATTTTTTAAAATATATATATTATAGTTGATTTACAATGTTGTGTTGCTTTCTGGTATACAGCAAAGTGATTCAGTTACACATATATATTCTTTTTCATATTCTTCTGTTGTGGTTTATTACAGGATATTGAATATAGTTCCCTGTGCTACATGAGAGGATCTTGTTCATCTATTTTATATATACTACTGTGTATCTGCTAATCCCAAATTCCTAATTTAACACCCTCCCCCCCATTTTTGGTAATTATAAATGTTTTCCATGTCTGTGAGTCTGTATCTGGTTTGTAAATAAGTTTTTTTTGGTTTTTTTTTAATGCTTTGGTTTTTGGTCCTGAGGCACGTGGGATCTTAGCTTCCTAACCAGGGATTGAACCCTCACCCCCTGCATTGGAAGGCAAAGTCTTAACCACTGGACTCCCAGGGAAGCCCAGTAAAAAAGTTCATTCTTAGTTAAGGTTTGAGATACAACCAAAAGCCAGAGGAGCACCTACAGAATATTCTACCTTCAGTCAAAGAAGGTTTGTAATCTGGAAAATTCTTAATGGCATTTACCACAGGTGACAACTTCTCTTGCCCCTGGGGAGGCCCATCTCCTGCCCTGACCCTTACTCCTGGACCATCAGGGGCAGAGAGAACTTCTTAGCTGGACTGGGGGCTGGAACCCCATGAATACCACATAGCCTCACTGTGTAGATATAACCCTGCATGTGAGAAAAAACCAGTCTCCAGCCCCCACTGGTATACAAAGTGTGCAGAGATGTACAGGAGTGGTGGAGAGAGAGTGTCCCTGCACAAAATCTCTTCCTTGACAACCAACTCTAGTCTGCTAGAGCTCACCACCACAGATCCCATTCTATCAGTTTAGGGCATGACTTCTGGGCATACATTTTCAAATGTCAAAACTTACAAGAAAGCTAACACATGAAGCAGTTGTCATTCATTAACAGTAAAATATATATTTGTCTATTGGACTTTTTTTTTGCTTTTAAACAGTTCACTATTAAGACGGACACTTGAGAAAATGAGTGTTTTCATAGGAAGAGGGAAGAAAAATAATAGATTAATACTGGGCACAGCCCTGGAGCCAGGCCTCTGGGACTGAATGAAAGAGGAAAAGATCATGGAATGGGGAGAAAAAAGTAACATCATCCATTTTTCTAATTTTTCGTAGCACTCTGTCTAATCTTCCCATTTTCTGTTTTTAACAATGCCATAACTAAATGCAATGTGTTATCCTGGATTGGATCCTGAGACAGAAAAGGGATGTCAGTGGATAAACCAGTGAAGTTCAAATAACATCTGAGATTTAGTAGACAATAACGGAGCACTGACATGACTCAGCAACTCAACAACGACTAACAAAAGATCACTGATGGTTTTTAGTTGTGACAAACGTACCAAGGCTACAAAAGAAATTAACAGTGAAAGAACACAGAGGAGGAATGGATGAGAACTCCAAACTATCTTTGCAGATTTTCTGTTAACCTAAAATCACTCCAAAGCAAAAGGCTTCTTTTCAGAAATACAGAAGACTAATTTTAGCCACAACTAGTTAGAAAGCCAGTCACCTGCAAAAAGAACACCTTTTTAGGAAGTGATATCATAAAAACATCAAGTTAAAGCCAGCTGTGATGACTACGGCTCAGTACAATCAATTTGGAGGGAGAAATAAAATCTTGGCCTCCAACGACAAATGGGTATAAGACAAACAACATGAGAGCTGACAGGCTTTTGGAAAACGCAATGTCATCAGAAGTAATTTTAAGAAGCTAAAGGCAGTTTTAACAATCATTCAGCGATGCAATGAATTTAGCTTTTACATGGTGTCTAAGCTGTGGTACAATTCACTTACCCTAAATCCACACCAAATGTATTTTCTCTTCAGAATGAAATATCAGAGTTTGGAAACAATGAACCTAGCCTAGACTCTATGACAAAATTCTTCAATATACCTGCTGCAGCCCTTAGAGAGCTTCTGTCATCAAATCTGCCCACTTGGCATCATTGCTTTCAATTACTAAGAAAGAGGACAACTTTCCCAAAGGGATTTCTGAAGTGTCACAGTTGTTTGGGAGGAGGGAGGCTTGTTTGAGACTTCTAATAGGCAGATATTTAAAACAAATCTTCAGAGATGTGGAGCACACAACCCTCCCAGATTCCGGTCTGGACTTCTGAATTCAGAGCAGCTGGTGTGGTTTTCCTAGTCAGTGGTCCTCGATCCTAGCTAGCCACATGTCAGAATCATGTGAGCAGCGTTTTATAAATCAGAATTGCCCCAGACATGACTCCAAACCACCAAATCGTAATTTGATTTGCTGGGCCTAGGGGTTTGCATTTTTAAAGCTCTCGGTTTTTCTGATATGGAGTTAGGATTGCAAATCATGTGTTCATGTCACCTAACACATGAATTATTTACTTACTACAAATTAATAATTAATAGTAGGTGACTACAACTTTGCAAGGCTATTTCTAAAAAATCAGGTTAGGTACACCCTAGGACCAATTTCTCCCTGAATTTGGCTATGAATCTCAATAGATAAGTGGTGTAACTCTGCAACTTGACAGTTTACACCAGAATGTCTCATCTCCAAATACAACCCAGTACCAGGCACATCTACCCAATGTCCCTCTGGCAAATACCCCACCCTGGCCTTCTCAATTTTCTCCAACTAATGCTTTAATATAATAACTGGACATTCTGTCTTATGCTTCCCATAAAGCCAAACAGTCCCTCACAAAACCAGTATTTTTAAAATGCCCCTCATCTATTGGAGCATCTCAATCTAAATAGGGAACTACTAAGGTTACTTTTTCTAAACTTCAGCTTGATCATAAAACGTCTCTTGTCTCTTCCCCTCTTTCTCACCTATTCATAAATACGATAGAAGTATCCAGACATTTGTTTAGTGTCTGATTTTCAGTACGTGGGTGTCTATGTCACCAGCAAAAATGTACAGCATACCTACTAGATGCTAAGGGAAGACAAACATGAATAAGATACCATCCCAGTCACCCAGTGGCTTATAGCAAAGTAAACAGCTCAACTGCAATTTAAATGATAAGTATTACTGAAAAGCTTATTAATATGTAAACACAGTGGCATTTCAATGTACCATTTAGTACAGACTAAGCATTTTCCCTCTAAAAGATGTTTAAAGGTAAATGGTGCAGTCTGAACTGTATATAGCTTCCCCCCCCTTCAGTTTTATTGAGGTATAGATGACAAGATATTTAGCACGACACAGCTTTTGATAATAGCAGCTATAAAAATCCAAAGTCAGCAGATTCTATCACAATTCTGTGTACTTATGCTTTATTTATATGTGCACCCCTCAAAATGCATACACAAAAAAATGTTAATGGAATATAATCTGTAATAATAGTAACCTCAATGCTCTCACCAAGAAAGAAATGGTTAAATAAACATTTGTGATATGGAATACCCCTCAGCAGTTAAAAATAAAGAGGCAATTCTATAGCAAGTACTGTGGAAAGATTTCCAAGATATAAGGCAAGATGCAAAATTTTAATTTTTTATGATCTTAAAGTTTTTAAAATGATATGCTAGATTTCTTTATGTACATATTTGTATGTGAACAAACAAGAAAAGTTCTGGAAGAAAACAGTGCAAACTGATAAACTCTGGCAAGACAGGACAGTCACAGGGGTCTGAGGGGCAGCAAGATAAAGTGGTCCCTTAGAGTTATTTCTCTTTAATTCTCCCATACCTTTCACAAATCTTTATGTCCCTCTGAATAAGGCCTACCCAGATCAACACATTTAAAATTATCAACTCCTACCATACCATACCTCACCCTCTACCCTATTCGACTTTTTTTCCATTACTCCTATTCCATTGTAACAAACCACATAACTTACTTATGAACACTACTGGATATAATTTATCTATTCCCACCGGAATGGAGGCTTCACAAGGACTCTGTTTTCCTCTGTGGTGTATCCCCCAGTGCCTACTAAAACAGTGCACATCATATGCTCATTACACATATTTATATGTATCATTTATATAATTTACTTATATTTGTGGAATAAATTCAACAATTTTAATTTCCTTTATAATAGATTAAAAAATAGTTTTTGCTTCACATCCAAAAAGCAATTTGGTGTGACTGGCAAATCAGGGGGTTACTTTAATTAAAAGCTGAAAGGACACAGGAACCATCATTGGAGAGAATGAACATAGCACATGACACTGAAATGTTAGCCCCGCCGAAAGCAAATAAACAAACAACAAAAAAAGAAACAAACAAAAATGGTGGAAGTTGTGAAACAGCAGGTGGAGCTGGTGACTTCTAAAGTTTGGTAGGAGTGTTTACATTCAAACTAATGTGTACTTTCACAGAAATAAGCCTATCTGTACACTTCCTTAATTATAAACCAAGTTCCCAGTATGGGCACAGATGCCACTGGGAAATCAAATGAGTCTAGATACAGTGAAGTGTCCAAGACTGCAAATCCCACTCAAGAAGGCTGACAAGGATGTTTAATGATAAATTCACAGCATGCCATACACCACTCTCTTTCCTGGCTATGAAGACAATACATTTGCCAAAAAGATACTGCTATTACTCAAATAACAGATCAGTTTTCAGGGCAATTTCAACAAGCACAGAGTAAGATATTCTCAAAGTAAACTTAACAAATCTTCATGAGGAAAGACCCACACCCATCTGTCTGTACTAGTAAGGCAGGACTACAGTGAATACCATTCAGAGAAGGTGTCCCGCAGTGAACCAATAACGAATGATTTTTGAGTCAAGAATGCTGTCGAATCATGTTACTGGGTTCTCTTTCGAGGGAGAACTGACACCTTCTTATTTAGAGACACTCTTAGATGAAAAGTGATCGGCACTTCCCTCTAGATAAAACAGAAAAGTGGGCAAGAAGAAGGCAGAGTTCATGACAACAGGTTAAGATCATTCCAAAAACTTGGCAGGATATGTGTGTGGCCAATGTGTCCTTCTGTGGGACTCATCACCATCCGTATAACTTCCTTGATCAAAGCTTATATTTCACTTATAAAATAGATGAATTCATATGATAAATAAAGGGGGAAACAGGATCTGATGGAGAGTTACCAGTAGGAGGCAGGCCCATCAATGAGACATGAGACTGAAGACAGAGTAGAGGGAGGGGAAGTGACAGGGGCAAGGATGGCTTGTGACTCTGATGTTCTCTTCTCAGATGGTGCATCTGGTTATTTCCACTTAAAGCACAGTGATAAGATTCACTCCTTTTAATTACAAGGAAATGTCTGCTAAATTTAAAGAGTTGGAATGGATATCACGTATAGCTCAAAGTCTTCTGTTTTCTTACTGAGAATATATTAATTACTAGCTTTGCAAATATTTGGAGTTATTTAAATATGCTCAAACTTCCTCTAGGAGAATTAGCAAGTTCTCTGAACTACAGTCATCATTAGTCATTAGGATAATTAACCAGTGGAGGAAGTAAAGTTAATCAAAAGATAACCAGTTCTCAAAGGGAAAAGGATAAAAGAGTGTGTACTGCCTACTAAGTTGCCCAAGACCAACAAATTCAACCTAGAGCTTCTAACCATCTGAATATTTGCTTTATGGTAAACCAAAAATCAAGGAGAAATTTTCCTGTATGCCTACTCTGTTTTCTAAGTGACATAAGAATTTAAGATTAAGTGAGCAACTAATTTGTGCTAAGAACCCCACTGAGTGCTTTATTATGTGATTTCATCAGTCCCACAGCAATTCTGTAAGTACTGTGATCCCCGATATTTGACAGAGGAAGAAGCTGAGGTTCAGAGAGTAAAGCAATCTGCCCCAATATACACAGCTCCAAAGTACTGAATTGGCCAAAATATTCTTTTGGATTTTTCCATAAGATGTCATGGAAAAACCTGAATGAAGTTTTTGGCAAACCCAATAAGTCAGAAGGCATCAAGATCTGCCAAGTTTACATGCCTCTTTTTTCCCTACACCACAAAAACAAAATTCTGAACGTTCTTCCCCAAACAGCTCAGACTTTAATACTGGCAGGTAGAGGTGTAGGGGAGAGAGGAGGCAAAGAACTAAACAAGTAACCACACTCACCTCTGGATTTTCTTCTTTTACTCTTCGTGACTGTAAAACAAATACATATTCATTAATACATACACGCCTCAAAAAACCACAAAAATAAAGCTGACACAAGTCAGCTAACCATCATCAAGGTGATCTACCTTTTCTTGAGAAAAGGCTGCTTTCCCTTCTTCACTTTTCTCATCCATCTCGTCGTCGCTCCACTCCCAGTCACCGTCTTCGGTTTTATGAAGGTGACCGCTTGACCCTGGAACTCGTCTCACCTGGATCAAAAGAAACCCACTCAAAGCTTCACCAGTCGAAAGTGAACAGGGCTAGCGATGTTGCCACTTGGGTCCTACAGCAGACACCTACCCTGAGAATAACCTGAGCGGTAATGAGTTCAGGGGCAACTCGCAAGGACTGCCCCAAAAGACTACACAGCTACCGACACGCATCCTCTATCCAAAGATATGGTTTCTTGAAATGAGTTACTAAACGCATGTAGAACAAAATATTTTGGAAGAGTACCACACATGTCAGCCATGAAGGATCAAACCCTTTTATCACTCTGACTTCAGTTTGTATTTTATGAATCACTACCCAGGAAAGTCCACACGGGAGGTTTCAAAATTGCTTAAGGAAATGCATGGGTACAAGCAACAGACTGTTGGTTATGAGGAGGTGAGGGACCTGGGCAGCTGCTAGCCTAAGGCATCTGCCATCTCCAACCTACATCACAAAAGCAAGTACCCCTCTATTGCCACCTTGCTCTTTTTCAGAATCTGACATCATGCTTGTTTCCCCTGGATTCTGTTCAACCTCCTTGAGCAAAACAGAACAACATTATTCTCAACACACCATAAAGCCCTTTTGAGACCTGTGAGCGCTAGGAACACAGCAAGATAATCAGCAACTGTGTCAGATGATCTTAATAGATAACAATCTATTATAACAACTAGATAGCAATTAGCTCAAAAATACAGAGATGTGGTCCATTCGGGTATGCTTTCCTAGTGTCTCTGTGTTTGAAAAGGCAAAACTTTTCAAAGGAGAGGATGACTGAGAATAATGAACCTCTGACCAAAGTAATTTGCTTTAAAAAAAACAGACTCAGACGTGCTTAAACTAAGCAATACAGCAAGTGAACATAACAGCCTGTGGTCCATCAATTCAGAGAAACCACAAGTGGGAAAAAAAAAAAAAAAAAACTTTGGAGACTGTCTAGTCAAACCCCCTCATTTTACAGATGGGAGAACAAAGGCCCAGAAGTGACCCAAGATCACACAGGTATAAGGACAAAATGAAAACGCCCATTCAAATGCAAGTCTTTCTATGCCATTGAATAGTAACTGTGAAAAAGCAGCCGTCTAAAAATGTCCTTGGAAGACTTTGAAAGAGTATGACATGAGGAAAGACTTTTACATAATAGAAACTATTCACTTATACTGTGGGAAGTTCATGAGTCCCAAGGCAAATAGCACAGACTTCAGATGTAAAGCAGCATTTACATGCACTGGATCAATGTGAAGTCATAAACAACGCAGACTTGGGGTTGGGTTTGATTTGAAGGCATTACCATGTGGATGCTGTCCAAGCAAGCCTGATCACTTTGTCTTGAGCTGCAACATGGAAACTTGAAAAGCTACCAAAAGGTTCTTACTCATAATCGCAAACGGTTATGCTCAATTTTTTTTAAAAAAAGCCTTTTCCTCCACTTCAAAAAAATTTTTTTCTAACTAATTCACCTTCAAAACACTTAGCACTTAGTAAAACTCCTTCTGTGCCTGGCATATATATTTTTCCACTTGTGTTCTGAGTCACTGGAAAGACCTATTTAATGATAGTGATTTTAATGATGCTTATAGATGTTGGCAACGTACTGCAGAAAAGATGCTGAAATGCACTTTAGGATTTTTAGAACAGATTGCTCGTTTTAAAGTTATATCAAAGAAAGGGATAATGAGAAAATTTTCTGTTGACGTATACAGTAAAATCAATTATTTTCTTAGCGACATTAATCATGATGAGAGCAACAGAGGAAAATCTGTTAATGACTACATTAAAAGAAAGCATTTAAAGCCACATCTACTGCAAAACATACTATTAACTAAGAAGTGAGAAGACAAGTAAAATTGTGGATCATAAACAGAAAAATACTCTACCTTCACTCAGACTGTAAAATCCAAGCATGGTTGATGATTACTAACATTCACGTGCTCATTTAAAAGAGCATACCACGGAAATCTCTCTGAAAGCAGCCAGATAGTGCAGCTTCCCACCCTAAAATTCAGTTGATGTTCTTTTCCCTCTCATTCTACATTTAGAAAATCTGTCCGTTTTGTTTCTACAAGAGGCATCCAACTACAGACAATAAAATGGCCAGCTTCTATTTCATTTTAGAACCCTATCTCCCTCTTCTTGGTTTTATTTGCTGGAAGAGAGAAAGATAGAGCAAAATGTCTAGGATTATAGCCTCAGATATTGAAAGAAATGGTGGCGTTGGCCTTTAAGCAATAAATAGTGGTTAAACAAACGGAGTGTAGAAATTAAGACAGAGAACAATTAAAAAATCTATGTAGCATAAAATGTTCATGTAAGTGTAGCAAGAATAAGAACGCAAGCATATTCCTTAAGGAGGTTATCTCGGTTTACTGGAAAGGAAAAAACTCGCAGCATAATTTGAAACCCAGGTTCCACGGTGTAGTTACAGGACACTGACCTCTAAGGAAGAGACCAGAAAGCAATTTTACAAAGTTACATCCTTGTAGGGAATTTGTAAGGATGACAGGAAACTTGGAGGTCTTGGAGGTCTTAAGAGTTAAGGCAACCAAGTTTCACATAGGTTAAACAAACAGTTTTTTTTTATTTTAATTTATTAAGGACCTGAAGAATAATCTACAAAACAGAAGCTTCAAAAAACAAAATGTGTAAAAGCTTCTATCTTGCCCCATTCCTTACAATGATGAGAATGGAGGCTACTCACCCTTAGAACAATGCTTGCATGCCAGTTACATCAGTCTTATTCTATTAAATGGCCCATTCACTTAGTAAAGCCAAGAGGTGACTGAATGAAATTTTTCCTCTGTCAGGGGTTTAAAAAATAACCCAATGATTCTCAGAGAAATGAGCTCAATTTAAGACATAGCTAGAGGTATTCATAAGCTCACAAACTCCTCAGGTCAGAGCTGGCAACAGCGAGGTTAGACAAGACTTTACAAGCAATAACATTCATTCCCCAAACTGGGAATAAAATACAATCAAGCAGTTCTATTTATACCAAACCTCTGGGAAGGAAAGTGATATTATTTTCTCTTTTTCAAAACAGTATTTTTATGAAAATCCATTAAAGAAATGAAGTTCTAATTCCCACAAAAAAAATAAGTCAGGCTCCACCAGAGGGAACAAGAGTGTGGTTCCCAGGCCATTTCTTGTGGCCATGGGGTCGGGTGTCAGAAGCAGAGCTAGGACAGATTGGCTAGGGAGAGGGAATGGCAGCAACAAGGGAAACGGTCCCTGGAGCCGCCTGACTCATCTTCCCAGGGTTGCCGCTCAGAACAAGAGCTTTCTATAAATACCAGGACCCAGGACCTCCATACGGTATCTCAAGTCACCACCTGGCCCCGGACAAAAAAAAACAAGAGGAAGCACGTGTACAGGCGCATACAAGAAAGCCAGAGGAAGCACTTTCTGCACAAGGTGTTAAATGTTAGAAATGGAGGTATGTTTCTCTAACAAAACTCCTGAATAAAGGATGAATGTGACCCAAACAAACAGTTTATTCGAGTGTGTCTTAGTCTTGCACGCGCTTTCTTCCAAGACACTGCCCAGCTGCTGATGGGTGCCACGTTAACTCCTCCCAGGAGAGGGATTTGGGGACTTCCTTGGAATGATTTTCCTGTCCCTGGAAATTGTATATTCCACTTCCCCTTCACTGGCTGGACAAACTGCCTGCCCCGCTGCAGCCTGAACCCAAGAACTCATCTCACATCCACACACCAAGAACACTCGGCATGGCAGAAAGCAGCATTCAGTAACTTTTCTCTTAGCAGGCATTCTACTAACCAGACGTGGAAAACATGCTTCTAATCAACTGTTATTTATAATGTCCCCGAGGCAAGCCAAGCAAACAAAAAAGCCTTCCAAATCATCAAAAATTAAAATTAAACTCACCAAGTTTTCAGTGGTAGTTTACTGTCTCCAGAGCTTACACTCCGACATTGGCCCCTGTGCCCCCCAGCTCTCCGGCACCTCCATCCCACGCCTACGGCCTGGCCTCCCTGGGCTCTCAGGCCCTCTGTCCGCTTCCGCTTCTCCCATATCATAGAAAGCCTGGAGGCCACAGCTGACGCTCTTGAAGCTGCACGTATTAGCCCCCCATGTCCCCGTGCCCGCTCCTGGCCAACCGCACCTGGAGGAAAGCTGTGGGCTCAGCCTGAGCCAATGGAGCGGAGGCACAGCGCCTGGAGCCATCACAGGGGATGGCACTCCTAGCTGACACAGCAGTCCGGCTGCAACCTTGCCACTCGTGCCCAGACGAGCAGCAACTGCGACATCTAGAAAGGCTGAATCTTGGGCCCCACCCCAGACCCACTCAATCCAAATCCTCCTTTTTGCAAGCTCTGGGGTGATTCACAAGGCCACTCAGGTTGGAGAAGCGCCTTGCCCATGTTGGTCTAGGCTGTCTCTCCAGGCCATAATACCAGCTGTTACACATGTAACAAAAGTGACTGCGCACTTGAAACATATTAACCAATTTAAGTCGACTCCCAGGTGTAACGAATCTGCCTGCCAATGCAGGGGACTCGGGTTCAATCCCTGTGTCAAGAATATGCCCTGGAGAAGGAAATGGCAACCCATGACACTATTTTTGCCTGGAGAATCCCATGGAGAGAGGAGCCTGGTGGGCTAAAATCCACAGGGTCACAAACAGTTGGACACGACTGAAGCGACTCAGCATATCACAGGAGTATTTACACAAAGGAAACAAAAATAGTACAAATTAGGCACTGAACTCCCCATTTAAGGCCAAAATAGGAGTTCTCAAGGTTTACAAGCACACCACTGATCAAAAGACTCAGCTCACGGAAACACTGTAAAATTTGATGACATTTCACATGAATTTAGTAGTTCACATGAATTTAGTAATAATCCCTGAGAATAACTACCTTCATTTACAATGGCAAATATCTCACTTTTATTATATAAGCCTCTCAGATTTCACCTTTAAAAGCAACACACTAATTGATTTTTACATACCAAACATTAGTAATATACTTTACTG